TGTAGCTTTAAAAATAGGTTGGATAAATACATGAGTAGATGTGGGTGGGTGTGAGTTAGACCTGATAGCTTGTGCTAACAGGTCGGTTGCCGTGTTCCTCCCTTAAGTCAATGTGACCTGACCTGACTAGGTTGGGTGCATTGGCTTAAGCCGGTAGGAGACTTGGACCTGCCTCGCATGGGCCAGTGGGCCTTCTGCAGTGTTCCTTCGTTCTTATGTTCTTATATACACCTGGAAAATCCTAGAGGGACTAGCACCAAACTTGTACACGAAAATCACTCCTTATGAAAGCAAAAGACTCGGCAGACGATGCAACATCCCCCCAATGAAAAGCAGGGGTGTCACTAGCATGCTAAGAGACAACACGATAAGTGTCAGGGGCCCAAGACTGTTCAACTGCCTTCCAGCATACATAAGGGGGATTACCAATAGACCCCTGGCTGTCTTCAAGCAAGCACTGGACAGGCACCTAAAGTATGTACCTGACCAGCCGGGCTGTGGCTCGTACGTTGGATTGCGTGCGGCCAGCAGTAACAGCCTGGTTGATTAGGCCCTGATCCACCATGAGGCCTGGTCACAGACCGGGCCCCGGGGTCATTGATCCCCGGAACTCTCTCCAGGTATACCATACACATGCTGTGGGCAAGAATCACTCAAATTTTTACGTTAGCGCCTATGCGCTTGTTCGATGAAATATTCTCAGAGGTTTCACAGCCTGAATGTCTCCGATAGTGACAGATGAACTCTTGGAAGGCATCTTTAATGTGGAAGTGTTTCGCCAACCATGGTTTTATTAATCTAATACAGAGAAAAAAGGTAAATGATGCGAAGATGGACTTCGAGGTAATCAGTCTTTTAGCCTAGAGATGACACGTTCACTCCATCAACCTTAATAAAAGGTTATGTACTATGAGATGGGTCAAATCATCACTTCAGTCTCATTAAGAAAATGGACGAATTGTCTGGGTCATCACTTAATGGTTTGTTAGCCAGGCCGGGGAGAAATAGAAAGTCTGATTCCTAGCAATATCCAATTTAGTGGACTAGGTAGTAGGCTGGAGACATACGGAACGGCTCATTACTTTGTAATTTGTTCATGATTATAACCATGTACAGAAGTGTAGACGGTTCATTACCTTTGTAATGTGACATGATTGTGACCAGATCTACCTGGAGTTTATTACCTTTGTAACTTGTTCAGCTATCAAAACTTTAGTGGGATGGATTGTAAAGGACCTTAGTGGGATGGATTGTAAAGGACTTGCCTAGTATGGGCCAACAGGCCTGCTGCAGTGTTCCTCCTTTCTTATGTTCTTAACTTAGGGGCCCAGTCCCTGGATTCATTATGTACCTCTGTAATCTTTTGACTACCGCCCACAGGATGGGTATGAGGTGCATAATAAAGATATAACTAACACAGCTGACAAGTATGAGGGCAAAGACACAAGTTGCAAGAAAAAAGCCCTTGTTGGAACATATCAATCCGCGTGGAGCATATCCTCAGTGTGAACACTAGAATTTTCTATACGACCCATTGGGGTCGTATAGGAAATGGTGACTGGAAGGCAAATTCGATCCAAGGAAAGAGAGGATGGCGCCATACTCCCGTCCCTTGGGTCAAGATTTGAAGCTTTGCCACTCTATTCCTCTCAATCCCCGTATAGTCTACGGAAAACCAGTAAGTTAAATACACTCATGAGACCCATGGCGTCTGGCACTCCCAGCGCTCCACACAAGTAGACATCTTCGCCAAATATAATATCCAAATTACTAGGCACAGACTAAAACGCTCACCTTCTCTACTCAGGGGTCTTATTCAAGACGATTAAAGACATTAACAACATAAAAAACTAACCCACTTTGAGGATCAGACCTGGTTGTGAATGAAAGGAAGCTGGGTGTTCTAGTACTGACTGAGACAAAGTTTAAGAGTAAATGGGAGTGTATTCGAGAGACAAAAACAAAACAAAAAAAATAGTGGTAACGTTAAATGAACAAATCACTCCCTATGAAAGCAAAAGACTCGGCAGGAGATGCAACATTCCCCCAATGAAAAGCTGGGACGCCACGAGTACACTGAGACAACACAAGAAGTGTCCGGGACCCAAGACTGTTCAACTGCCTCCCAGCATACATAAGGGTGATTACCAATAGACCCCTGACTGTCTTCAAGAAGGCACTGGACAGGCACCTAAAGTAAGTACCTGACCAGCCGGGCTGTGGTTCGTACGTCAGTGTGCGTGCGGTCAGCAGTAACAGCCTGGTTGATTAGACCCTGATCCACCACAAGGCCTGGTCTCAGGCCGAGCCGCGGGGGCGTTGATCCCCGAAACCCTCTCCAGGTAAACATATTAGTCAGAGAAAACATATATAAATCTTTAAATTCAAGAATTATGTTGTTTACAATTAAAGTAGGTCGTGCACCTGGAGCTAAGAAAAATGTAGAGAGCAAAATTTAGATAAATATATGTTGAGTGAATTTTGGGCCAGTAGGCCTGCTGCAGTGTTCCTTCGTTCTTATGTTCTTAAGAAAATAACAGTTTTGGAAGACCTTTTATGATAAATTGAAAGACAATGTTGTAGAAGGCAGACCAGGAAAGCTTGGAGCCACGAATGAATGACTACAGAGGACCTTTAATCGAATTAAGAGACATTTGATAACAGGCAATACAACGTTGTAAGAAAATAAACACACATGTTTATAAGGCTTAAAGCTTATAAGAACATAAGACAGGAGGAGCACTGCAGCAAGTCTACTGGCCAATGGATATAAATAGTATGCAATACCGATACGATGGACAAAGCCAAATACGCAATAATGGGATTCTTTAGTTAGTTTAAGATCTTTATTATGCACGACCATTTTGTGGGCGGTAGTCAAAAGATTAGAGGCACATAATGGGTCCAGGGACTGTGCATACTGACAACGCTTCGCCCAAACAGTGGGCTTTATCTACCAGTCACTGGCCCATGCTAGGCAGGTATAAATTCACCAAAACATAATGTAACTTATTTTTAAAACTACCCAAGGTACTCTGCTTCAATAATGTTGCTCAGAGTTTGTTCCACTCATCCACAACTCTTACCAAACCAGTGTTTTCCCTATATCCTTTCCAAACCTACTTTTTTCCAACTTAAACCCGCTGCTGCGACTCCTGTCTTGGTTAAATACTCTCAGCAAATTATTTATATCCCCTTTATTTATTCCTGTCTTCCATTTGTACACTTCACCCATATTTCCCCTTTCCAGAGTGCAAATTCTAGGCTCTCAGTCTATTCTCATATGAAAAATTTCTGATACATGGGATCATCTTTGTCATCCTTCTTTGTATAGTTTCTAACGAATTTATGTTCGTTCTGTAATATAGAAACTAGAACTGTGCAAAATAATCTAAACAAGGCCTTGCCAAAGATACCTGGAGTATATATGAAGTTGAAGTATAACCTGAGGACTGTTGCAATATTGGTAGAATTACCGACAATATGTTAGGTAAAAAGTTACATGTGTAACTAATGTGACATTTTACCGAGGCAACGTGTCGCTCTGCAAGAACTCCTGGACAAAGCTCCAGGAGAGCGAAACGTTGCCGCAATAAAATGTCACATTAGTTGCACGTTTCCTTTTACCTAACAACCTGAGGACTCCTATCATTTATACTTTTTTATGTGAAGCTAAGAATCCTATTAGCTTTCTCGCGAACATTTTTGCACTGTTGTCTTGGCTTTAGATTACTGTTACCCAGAACTCCTCGGTCTTTTTCACATCAAGTTTGACTGAGATCTACACTGTTTAGCTAATAGGCGCCATAATTATTTTCTCGATAGCAAGTGCACTCAGCTCCCACACTAAGGTCCTCAGATCTAATCCCCGGTACGCCTGACAAACATTAGGACGTTTTTCCATAAGACACCTCCCGTTCCTGTTCATCCATCAGTAAAATAGGTGAGAGTAAGACACATGTGCAACATCTGTGTCTTACTCTCATCTTGTCGGTATTATATACCATTCCTACACAGTAAAATAGGTACCTGGGTGTTAGTCGACTAGTGTGGGTCGCACACTGGGGACAAAATTGGCTTAATTTGCCCGAAATGCTCTGCATATTAAGGGGCCTCTATGTAGTAGTATGTCATTGGTGTCAGCTATGCCTGTGTACCTTGTACATGTACTTGTAGAAATAAAGATAGTATTATGTTTACACTCCATCTGTCATTTCTCCTGCCTATTTTAGTGTCATCGGTAAACTTGCTTATACAGCTCGTAATATCAGGTATTGAACGTGTCAGTAACCTAACAAGTGTCGACCAAATCTCAAATCTATTATACTGATCTAAATGGTGCATTGTCCATAATAGTGAAGGAAAGGGCATTTCGAAGAAGCTGGGACGTTTTTTTGTGAAGAACTTCATCAATAAATCACAAAAAGGCACAATACCGTGCGGATTATTTGTGAGCTTTATCATATTTCGCTGTGTAGAGCTTTATCAAATAATATTTCGCTGTGTAGAGCTTTATCAAATAATATTTCGCTGTGCAGAGCTTTATCAAATAATATTTCGCTGTGTAGAGCTTGATCAAGTTATCCTGATATGATACAACACTGTAGATCTAAATGTCCCAATAAATTTCCTGATTTTTTTCTAATTTTAATCAGGGGAAGAGCAGCATTTAAGCTTCATCCAAGGAAGGGGAGGACGAGATCAGCTCCTTGGATCAAGAGCCCCCCTCACCAGCATCATCAAGACATCTCCCTTGAATCAGCAATTTATAGGCAGGGCGCTAAACCCACTGGGGTCACCCAGCGCCTGATAAACGAGAGGTAATCAGGCATGATCCAAGGAATAGTGTAGCTCCGGTTCCTTGGATCAAGAGCTTTTTTGAACCATCATGAAGGGACTCCCACCTTGAAGGACCACCAAAATGGCGCGGACATCAAGCACTAAATCTATTCAATTCCGAAATTTCAAGTCAAAACGTATTTGAAATATATGTTATGTACCTGAGACAAAGACGGGGTAATCTGGTGTATATTGTGAGAGGAGGTGGGCTTGCAGGGTCGTCCACACACAAAAATGGAGCCACAATAACAAAGTTCTGTAAACTTTCCACCTATGCTCTACCGTCAACGCCACCACATTCATAATGCAAGAATTATTTTAATTTTACTAAAAAAAAAAGAGAGTAGATGACAATTTTTCAGCGTATATACTATTAAATATTTATCTCAAGAGATATCATGTTGAACTCTGTATAAATGACAGGAACAAATCTTCCCATATATTACACTCAAAAGCATTTTGAGTATAACTTTGTATATTTTTTTTACGCCTGTATATATTATTTAAATGTAAACAAAAATAAAAAGCAATTTTTTTTTTTCAAATTTAAGTGCATGTGATTTTTTTTCAAGAACGAATTTTCTAGCCTAGGATTTTACTTCGTGTAATTTATATATATATATATATATATATATATATATATATATATATATATATATATATATATATATATATATATATATATATATATATATATATATATATATATATATATATATTTATTTATTTATTTATTTATTTATTATTATTATCACAATGGCCGATTCCCACCAAGGCAGGGTGGCCCGAAAAAGAAAAACTTTCACCATCATTCACTCCATCACTGTCTTGCCAGAAGGGTGCTTTACACTACAGTTTTTAAACTGCAACATTAACACCCCTCCTTCAGAGTGCACTGTACTTCCCATCTCCAGGACTCAAGTCCGGCCTGCCGGTTTCCCTGAACCCCTTCATAAATGTTACTTTGCTCACACTCCAACAGCACGTCAAGTATTAAAAACCATTCGTCTCCATTTACTCCTATCAAACACGCTCACGCACGCCTGCTGAAAGTCCAAGCCCCTCGCACACAAAACCTCCTTTATCCCCTCCCTCCAACCTTTCCTAGGCCGACCCCTACCCCGCCTTCCTTCCATTACAGACTGATACACTCTTGAAGTCATTCTGTCTCGCTCCATTCTCTCAACATGTCCGAACCACCTCGACAACCCTTCCTCAGCCCTCTGGACAACAGTTTTGGTAATCCCGCACCTCCTCCTAACTTCCAAACTACGAATTCTCTGCATTATATTCACACCACATATTGCCCTCAGACATGACATCTCCACTGCCTCCAGCCTTCTCCTCACTGCAACATTCATCACCCATGCTTCACACCCATATAAGAGCGTTGGTAAAACTATACTCTCATACATTCCCCTCTTTGCCTCCAATGGCAAAGTTCTTTGTCTCCACAGACTCCTAAGTGCACCACTCACCCTTTTCCACTCATCAATTCTATGATTCACCTCATCCTTCATAGACCCATCCGCTGACACGTCCACTCCCAAATATCTGAATACATTCACCTCCTCCATACTCTCTCCCTCCAATCTGATATCCAGTCTTTCATCACCTAATCCTTTTGTTATCCTCATAACCTTACTCTTTCCTGTATTCACTTTTAATTTTCTTCTTTTGCACACCCTACCAAATTCATCCACCAATCTCTGCAACTTCTCTTCAGAATCTCCCAAGAGCACAGTGTCATCAGCAAAGAGCAACTGTGACAACTCCCACTTTATGTGTGATTCTTTATCTTTTAACTCCACGCCTCTTGTCAAGACCCTCGCATTTACTTCTCTCACAACCCCATCTATAAATATATTAAACAACCACGGTGACATCACACATCCTTGTCTAAGGCCTACTTTTACTGGGAAATAATTTCCCTCTTTCCTACACACTCTAACTTGAGCCTCACTATCCTCGTAAAAACTCTTCACTGCTTTCAGTAACCTACCTCCTACACCATACACCTGCAACATTTGCCACATTGCCCCCCTATCCACCCTGTCATACGCCATTTCCAAATCCATAAATGCCACAAAGACCTCTTTAGCCTTACCTAAATGCTGTTCACTTATATGTTTCACTGTAAACACCTGATCCACACACCCCCTACCTTTCCTAAAGCCTCCTTGTTCATCTGCTATCCTATTCTCTGTCTTGCTCTTAATTCTTTCAATAATAACTCTACCATACACTTTACCAGGTATACTCAACAGACTTATCCCCCTATAATTTTTGCACTCTCTTTTGTCCCCTTTGCCTTTATACAAAGGAACTATGCATGCTCTCTGCCAATCCCTAGGTACCTTACCCTCTTCCATACATTTATTAAATAATTGCACCAACCACTCCAAAACTATATCCCCACCTGCTTTTAACATTTCTATCTTTATCCCATCAATCCCGGCTGCCTTACCCCCTTTCATTTTACCTACCGCCTCACGAACTTCCCCCACACTCACAACTGGCTCTTCCTCACTCCTACAAGATGTTATTCCTCCTTGCCCTATACACGAAATCACAGCCTCCCCATCTTCATCAACTTTTAACAATTCCTCAAAATATTTCCCTCCATCTTCCCAATACCTCTAACTCTTCATTTAATAACTCCCCTCTCCTATTTTTAACTGACAAATCCATTTGTTCTCTAGGCTTTCTTAACTTGTTAATCTCACTCCAAAACTTTTTCTTATTTTCAACAAAATTTGCTGATAACATCTCACCCACTCTCTCATTTGCTCTCTTTTTACATTGCTTCACCACTCTCTTAACCTCTCTCTTTTTCTCCATATACTCTTCCCTCCTTGCATCACTTCAACTTTGTAAAAACTTCTCATATGCTAACTTTTTCTCCCTTACTACTCTCTTTACATTATCATTCCACCAATTATTATTAGATTAAACCTATTGTACTATAGCTCATTCTAGCTCAAAACATAGACCCCACAAAAGTCATTATTAGACCTTAGTGCAATTACAAGTGAGAGTCTTGTTCTATTTTTAATTTGTATTTTTATATTACTAGTTTATACCTAGTTGTACTTTAGTTCATTCCAGCACAACACATAGACAACATCAACTTCATTATGTGTAGTAGTGACTATACTCTACATGACCAAAATACGCTAGCTATATACTTGTCCAAACTTCCTACCACTACAGATATCAGTACTAGAACTCAACACACAACTCAGGATATAAATAACCATAATTTAAACCTAGAAGATGATTGATCACGTTGACCCTGATCTAAACCTCCATAATCCGACACCCAATCAAAACCTATTGGAAAGTAACTGCCTTTATTACACAGCATCACAAGCCAGCACTATCCTAAACAACGCTAAAAATCTATCAGTACTTAACTACAACATCAGGTCCTTAAGCAAACACTATGATGACCTCCTGGCACTCCTTGAATCACTAAAGACACCCTTCTCCTGCATTATTCTTACTGAGACCTGGCTTAAGCAGGACACAATAGATATCTACCCTCTACCAGGATACACAGCAATTCACAACTGCAGACCAAACCAAGTTGGGGGTGGTATTGCAATCTATTACTCTAACCAATTATCTTGTATTAGCACCACTTGCTTTAGTGATGAATATGGGGAATACATTTTTGCTAATTTTACTGTAAAAAACCTTAAGACGCCTATAACAATCGGTGCCATTTACCGGATACCTCACACAAACATCCCAAATTTCAGCGAGAAATTAAAGTCACTAATAACAAACAGACAAATGAATAAGCACCACCTTCTCTTAGCTGGAGACTTCAACATCAACCTTGGCTTACTAGATGATCAGCCTGTAACTGATTTCATCAACAATATGAACAACACACTTCTCATACCAACAATAACTAAACCAACCAGGCTCACTGAGACAAGTGCAACCATAATAGACCACATATGGACCAATATACTAGCCCCCCTTAAATCAGGGATAATCACAGATAGCACTACAGACCACTACCCTACCTTCCTCCTGACAAACATTAGTAAACCACCACTTGAATACAACAAAGTCTCATTTAGACTCCATGACGAGGCCTCAGTAAGGAAGTTCACAGCTGACCTAGAGACTGTTGACTGGCCTACAGAATTCTCCAAGGCCAATGGTATTGATGACTGGACAGACATTTTTCTTAACAAATTACTTAGACTATACAACAAACATTGTCCTATAAAAACAAAACAGATCACAAACAAACGGCTTGGTTGCCCATGGCTAACCAGCACCATTCTGAAATCCATTGACAAGAAACACCAACATGAAAAGCAATATAGACAAGGCTTAATACACAAGATATTCTTAAACACTATTCATCAGCTCTCACCAAAGTAATAAAGAAAGCCAAACAACTATACTACTCCAGTAGATTCACAGACACTAGAGGAGATATAAAAAAGACCTGGAAAACACTCTCTCAGATTCTAGGAACCCACAAACTGAGAAAAACCAAGAATATTGTCCTAACTAAACCTAATGAAACACCACTACATCCCACTGACACAGCTAACAAGATAAACGACTTCTTCTCAACCATAGGATCTAATCTCGCCAGTAAAATCCCAGATACCAATGCCCATGCCGGGGACTACCTAGATGGGAATTTCCCTAATTCCTTCTATCTTGCACCAACTGAGCCCACGGAAGTCACCGAGATTATAAAGTCACTTAAAAATAACTCGGGGAATCTGTCTCATGTCCCACCATTACTGTACAAGCGAGCGGCCCATGTCCTTCCGCATGCTATTTCATTACTCTTTAACAAGTAACTAGAGACTAGCACCTTCCCGAAACTACTCAAGATGGCAAGGGTTACACCAATAATAAAGGTGGTGACCCTACAGACTTAAACAACTATAGGCCAATATCTAACTTACCATTGCTATCCAAAATCTTTGAGAAACTCGTGCACAGGAGACTGCATTCATTTATAACGGCTCAAAACATACTCAACCCCTGCCAATTTGGATTCAGGAAAAATAAAAGCACTAATGATGCAATCATAAAAATGCTAGATCTGCTTTACACAGCATTGGAAAATAAGGAATATCCACTAGGAATTTTTATTGACCTAAGAAAAGCTTTTGACACAGCAGACCACGACATCCTACTCCACAAACTTGATCATTACGGTATAAGAGGCCATGCGCTTGCTTATTTCAAATCTTACGTTACTAATAGGTATCAGTATGTCACCATTAAAGACACAGCATCAGCAACACGG